AACAGTGACCTACTTTACAGCAGGTGTCTTTGTGGAAAAGCATAACCACATTAGTCATAAACCAACATGAAACTTTCTGAGTCAGTTTTAGATCAGTGCAGGTGACCTCTTTGTATATACCTGTGCTTCTGCAGGTTGTTACCTAATTATGTCTATGGTGAATTGTGTGTCCACATAATGGTGTTTCTGTTTCTCAACCTGAGGCTACACCTTTAAGTAAATTCACTATTAACTGGAATTTTCAGCACACGGAAATGTTCTGTCACAGAAGACTGATTATTCACCCTTGTTTGTCAGGCTCTTACCTTTATAACAATTCCTTGGGAAACTCCAGACTTATCAGAACATTATCTGAATTCACAATGAGTGCATGAAGAGCACCCTCTGCTGGATTAACATAAAACAGCAATTCCATAACACACATGGATCCCAGTGTTATAATTAAAAACTGAGTCAGATATCCACAAATAATTTTTAAAAAATGTAGTTAATTTACATAAGTAAATGATTTTTCTTACTGATTCTCAACATTTTAGCAGATCTAAGCAATTCTGTTAGAGTGAACTATTCTTTTAAATGCGTCTTTATTTGTATGGTCAGCACTTGAGCCCTTTTCAGGACTAAGTAAATTGGGTGTACAGTATGTGTATGTATCTAGTCCAGGACTCCAGGGGCTCAGGGTAAAGGTTTACTGTATGGCAATTATTAGCTTGTGGTAATTTGATTAACTGATCAATATAAAGTGAAAGTAATTGTCTTAAGATGCTTCCTGTGTTTAGTCTTGGGGTTTTATAACAAAGCAAAATTTTAATAGAACTGTTTTTCTGACTGCAGATTTATTGTGCAGTTGCCAGCACCTTTTGCTCTGCAGTACACACTGTGTGATGCAGCTTGTTTTTCTTTTAACTGAACTTAGCATGATTTTTTTTGTTAGTTGGGGAACACAGGCTGAAGATGGTGAGACCCCATAGCTCATTTTTGTCCAGGGGTCCTCAGCAGCTTACGCCAACCCTAGAAAGTCAATAGCATTCTCCAAGACCTTTGACCTCTAAAATCGAACATGTAACGAAAGCAGAGGCTGCCAATAAATCTTCGTTTAGATCAAATCTGCATCATCTATGTCACCACATGGTGTTTTTAATTTTTATCTAAAAAATAAATAACTAAATAAAATAAAATAAGAATTACAACATGAGTCAAATAGCATCAACAGCACATGCTGAGGAAGTCAGTTTACTCTTTCAACCACAAGATCACACTTGGCGTCATGCTTTTGCTGGCCTTATCAACATGGCTGGGCAGATTTTTCATGGCAAAACGATTGGTATTCCAACATGTTCTCCCTTCAGCTGCCCCATGTTTAATGCATGGACCCCTCTGAAATGGAGTCTGCGATATGAAGAGGGTATGCATTAGCATGGATTCATTGAAAGATGCATGTGGTTAAACAGACCACTAAGAAGTATTGCTCCAATCTCCAAAGCAATTTAACTGGCAGATCAAGCTGTGCTGCAGAAAGCACCCTTGGGTGGGAAATGTAATGTGCACCATGGTACCATATGTTGACTATTTTTGCATAATGAGTTTGTACGAGTTTTTAGCTGATTTTAATGTCATTACATTACGAACTGTAAGCTGCCAATATCGGGCATATATAACAAAATAAACCTGCACCGATGATACCGATGTACTAACATGCCTAAGTCCAACATAACTTCATTTTACTATAATCAGGTTTATCTAGATTGGAAATGAAGTCTGTATTGATACGTACATTGAATATTTTGCATGGGTATTATCAAGGGGGCTGATTCAGTGAATACAAGATAATGCTGACTAAGTAAAATAAAATAAAATGCAGTCTAAGCAGCATTAACTGACTTATGAACAAGCTGCTAAAAGCAAACAAACAAATAAGTGACATATTATAACCTAAACAATGTTTCAGCAGACAGGTGCTTTTTTTGTTTTTACACATCCAGCAAGTCATGTTTCTGGCAACCAGGCAAATATAAAACGAATGTCGACAGTGCTCCACAATCTGTGCAGAAACTGAAGAACAAGTGGAACATCTGTAAAATAGCAAAAAATATATCGATATTGGAAAGGGTTAGATATATTTTGGACGGGAGAGCACTACGCATTCTGTATTCTTCATTGATCTTACCATACTTAGAGTATGGCGTTGAAAACTGGGGAAATACATACAAAAGCTCACTTCAACCATTGTATATATTACAAAAAAGAGCGATAAGAATTGTGCATAAGATGGG